GTTCCCCTAGTGGGGTGTTGGTTTTGCTCCCCAATACAACCCCAGTTCTTAGTAGACCTTTCTTACTGGTGTCTACCAGGTAGGAACGATGAGCTGAATGAGCAAAGGGAGGTGCCCTGTAAGACCAGAGCAGCTGTGAGCAGGTCTCTAGCCCTGCGCTAGGAGCTTCCCTAGGCATTGTACCTTGTGGGCACAGCTGCACCTCACAGGTCTCTGAGCGATGATGCACCCATGCACTTCCCTTCCTCCTGGCCCACTCTGTGTTCACCTCAGCTCGAAGGTGTGACACCTGGCTAAAGGAGGGCTCGTCCCTTCCTTCCAGCTCTCCAGAGTCAGGTCTCCCAGCTTTAGGTTTAGCAATATCAGCGGATCAGTGAACTCGATCGCCATGGCAGGGAATCAGCAAATATTCAGACTTTGGTGTGGTGGTGGTGTGTGTTTATATATGTGTATGTGGCAAAAGACCAGTGGCGCTGGTCATGAGGGGGCTCCCTGTGCTGTGGGGACTCTTGCCTCTTTTTAAGACCCATCTCTTTGGTTTGTCTCTTCCCCAGGTGACTCTGGTGCCCTCCTGAACCCTTCTCTATTGAAGCCTCCTGTGGACACACACACACCTGGACTCTGCTACGTGGCTGACTACGCATCTTGCCTGATAAGTCATTGTGGAGCTACATGTCCAGGTTTAAGAAGAGAGAAGATCACGAACACTCAGATTCTTTTGGCAAAGAACCCTGCAGTCCTCCCTTATCAGACAGAGATGCTTTCTGTCCTGCTGGGATGCAGACTGTTCCTGCTGTGGCCAGCTGGTGGCCTGAGTCAAGTGCACTGTGCAAGGAGAGCTTTGTGCTGGCTCCTGTGCCTCGGCTGCACCCGGTATTCAGGCCCGGATCTCCTGCTCTGCCTGAGGCCTATCATACGACGGCCTCTGGTTGCTGCTCACCCAGCTATTCACGCAGAAACCCCTTCCCAGAACACACCTTGGCCCTGAGAAAAGCCAGTGCATGGCTGTTGTTCTCCAGAAAGTGCACACGCAGGCGGCCTGGGCTGGGCGCTGGCAGGGCCTCCCCAGAAATAAGCTCCAACAGCCGTAGGAGGTGGGCACCGTCAGCAAGCTCTGCATACAGGTTCTGAATCCTGATACCCGCCTGAGGAGTGGATTGGGGGCAGATGTGGGATCGCCCCAGCATCTCCTGCCCACCCCACTTTAAAGCCTGGGAGGAGCAGGCCAGAAGAGCTGCAGGCCGGGGATCCCATAGCAGGTCCCCAGGTCGCTGACCAGACCTGGAGGTTCCCAGGCCACACTTACCCGGCCCAGTCGGAAGATGTTGTTGATCCACTTAGTGAAGGTCTTCTCCTGCATCTGCGCATGCTGAGCCTGGAGCTTGCGCACATGGCCGGTCTCATACTCAGAGTCCATGACCAAACTTGGACTCGGCCAGGCGGAGCTGCGGGCCTGAGTCTCTTCCTCAGAGACGCTAAGGAACTGGAGGGTCGAAGGGACAACCAACCTATGACCCTATAGCTCTTGGAGGATGAATGGCAACTGGCATCTCCCTGTGTCTGGAGATGGTGGGAGCACTGGGGCTGGGAAGCACTGTGGGCACTGATGAACCTCCTGCCAGAAGCCCGAGGCCCTGTCCAGCCACGTTATTCCCAGGAAGGACAGGAATATGAGGTGGAGCCTATGCAGATAAGAAGCCTGACTGGTAGCCTGCACTTGAATGACCCAGAGTCACCCCCCCCCCCCAGATTCTTCTCCGAATCCCCGCTAGTCCTACCACCACAGCCATTGCCCCTGTTGTTTGGCTCAGTTTTGGCACGGAAGGAAGACAGGGCCTGCTCACCTTGGCAGTTGGCGTCTGGGTCCCCGCTGTCAGATGGAGATACCAGATAGCAGGGCTTGGGGAGAAAGGGAAAGGCAACCAGAAAAGTCAGGCTGGAGTGGGGCCACAGTGTGGCCCTCCCCTTTGCCAGCCTGTCAGGGGTAATGCCACACAGGCAGCATTGTCCTCCCACCTGCTACAGGGCGGAGCCCAGACAGGAGGGGGTGGCTCGAGAATGTTCTAGGTTCATTGCTAGGGGGTCCCCCCCCCATTCTCTACCCCATCCCCTGGCTGCTTCCCTTGTTGGCAGGTGAGGGTCTTGGCTCTGAGGGTCTTGTTGGCTCTGTGAGAACATGGTCGGATGCTGAGGTCTGAATGAGACATCAATGGCCAGGGTCTCTGGCTGAAAGCTGTGGGCTCACTTCCCTCCTGCACCCCATCCTAGGATGATGGACAGCCCCTCCCAAACCTGAGAACAACTACGGGGACCCTAACATCCTGGGCTCAGCTTCCTAGGCTCCGACCAGCTCAGCCGAGCATTGAGAAGGCAGCCAGTGACAGATGAATTGTGACAGGCAAGGGTACCAGGGAAAGCAGCTTCTCAGGGGGGCAGCTCCCACTCACTCCCCTATAAGCAACAACCCCCTCCCAGACGCTGCCTGTCAGAGGCCCTCTTCTCAGGAGCCTTGGCCACAGGGACACCCTCTCCCAGAGCCTTCAAGGACATCCACACACAGCCACTCAGAGACTGCGGCCCAAGTTTAGCCAGTTGTATGGAACCCCCAGGGCAGGCGCGCATCCTTCCTCTGACAGGAGGGAGCTTACCACCTCTGCATGGCCTGCCTGGAGCCCCGGACCACCGTCAGCTCCAAGGAAGATTCTGGGGGAGATGGCACAGTCTTTCAGGACCAGTTCCTGCTTTGTAGGGGAATACTTCAATTGGCTTAAGCTAAACAGGGTCCATCCTGGAAAGAGGGGTGGGGTCTACTATACCCAAACTTCGGGGAAAAAGGAATACGCTGTGTTGAATGATGATCCAGGTCGGCATCATCACGAGGGTGACAGGGAAAAGCCCAATGTTGTGCAGGTGCACACCTGAAGTGCGTGAGAGTGAGGCCTGCGTCTCAGGGGTGTGTGCTCATCGCTGCCCCGCCCCACAACCCAGCAGTACCCATCCCACAGTCCCTTCAGCCTGGGCTTTCACGCTCTCAGCTAAGGTATGAGCTTCAGTAGGGTCTTTGTCCCCAGTCATGTGACCCACTGTGAGACCTCTTCCCAGAGAGGATGCGGGAGAAACTGGGGTTACAGGGAGGCATGGGGAAGAGGCGTAGCTCCCTGGGCTCTTCCATCTCCTGCCAAAAGGGACCCAAGGGACTACTTTCCTCTTGAGAAGTGGGCACAGTTACAAGTCAGAGCCAGTGTGGATGGACACTTTTAAATAAGGTTTTATAAAATAGAGGCATTGTATACTTACTGTTGCTAAATACTATATTCTGACATGCTCTTGAATTGGGCCCTGGGTTACTTGAATAAACTCAGGCTCCCTGTTCTGGGATCTTACTGTCTCCATCTGCCTACTCTGTGAGCTCAGGACTTCCCTGGCAGGGGAGGATGGCAGGACCTAGCTTAAGGGCTCACTTCCCCTCACTTGCAGGGGTTCCTGCCATCTGATGCCATGTGGTGGTTACAAACATGGTCTTTGGAACCAGGGAAAGCATGAAGTAGCTATGCAGTCACAGACGACATGCCAACCTGTCCTCCTGTGTGTAAGCCCTCTGAGGTGGCTTCCTTGAAAACTAGGGTGATTGTATGGTGGTTGGAATATGTGTGTACTGAAGGCTTGGTCAATAGGATGGTGGTTGGACCATAAGGGTTCTGAGTTTATCCAAGGATGAGACTAACGGATATGGCGAGGAAGCAGATCACTGAGGCATGCCTTGGAAGTAGCTCTCCTGTCTCCTTCCCTCTGCTTCCTGGCTGTCAAGAGGCAACAGCCTCCTCTGTGACATGCTCCTGGCTGTTACATTCCGCCTCACCTCAGGCCCAACGGAGCCAGCGGAATGCATACATGTTTGTTTCTCTGTGCTGAGTTTTCCCAAACAGTAGACTTTCCCTCCTAGAAACTGAATTCTGTCAAGTGTTTCTGTAACACTCAGAAAACTAACACACGGGGTAGGGCGGTACAGTCAAGGTGGGCAGAGGCATGTCGTGGAGGCGTATTCTGGACAGTCTAGGAACGCCGTGTCAGTTCTGGGAAGGTACACTCTTTCACTTGGCCACCATCCCTGGCGCTTTCCTTTCTGGTAAACTTATCATGACGAATAAGAGAATATCATGAAGAATAGACCCATGATTTCTGTTCAGGAGCATCACCGGGTCAGAGTGTGGTGAGGTTCAGCTGCCAGGCTTCTCCCAGCAGAAGGTGGAGAGGACTGGAAAGGGAAATCCCAGAAATCTTAGCTTGCAGTCCCTAGAAAGGCCTCCTCTGAGGTTCTGTACAGAAGCGACTTGGTCATATGTACGTAGAACATACAGACACTTTCGAGACACTCCTGAGACATACATTTGTGATTATATTTACGGAGATATATGACAAGTGCGAGAAAAAAAGCAGCAAGACAACTGGGGGGGAGGCAGCCCTCCAGGGCATCACCACCGTGGACACCAGGGTCCTCACAGCACAGAGATGCCTGCATTCAGTTACAGCCCCAGGATCAAACATTCCCCTCTGTGTGTCCAGTTAATTAAAACATACTCATGCAGAGTCAAACGCACACCACGCTCCTCTTAAAGCCGTCATTTAGAGAGTAGGTGGGGAGTACGCATGGTGACCTAAGAGTTCTCCCTGGTTTTAAAACAGACTGCCACAAAACTAACAACGGAGTTCGGGCTTCAAACTCATGGTAATCCTCCTCCATCAGTCTCCCAAGCACCGGAATAACAGGTGTGAGCTTTTACCATTTTCTGACCCCGAGGTTGACAGAGGCAGACAATTGGGGGAGGGGTATGTTTTTCTGAAGATCCAGGGGCCCTGTTCAGATTCACTCATTTCTGGTGCTGTCAGGGTGGGCTATGTGGGCGCCGCCGTGCTGTGACTCCTAAGTGTCATAAGTGATGGCAGACGTGTCCTCAGCTGGGCTGCAGAGCAGGCCCCTGCAACTGAATAAGTGGGCCAGGGAAATTCAAGGGCTTGGGGAGAGGTATGTGCGCAGACCAATCCTGGCCCCAGATAGGCACTCCTGATGAGCAGCACACTAGCTTGGAAGACAAGGCGTTACACAAAAGATTTCTACAGAAAAGCTTCATCTTGTGAGGAAAACACAACTGGACACAACAAAATGCACATTTTTCTTTAAAAATCAAACAGCAGTGCCAATCATCAAGACACTGATCTCCACTGACAGCTCAGGATGGGGCCAGTCTCTCTGTACCTGGGCCCAGAGTCTCTAGGACTACACAATTCAAGACATGGCCTTCTGGAATTTAAACTCTGCCACTCACTTTTCTGTCGCCTACCAAAAAGCCTTGGGGACATCCAATGGCCGAAGGGCACACTTAGTGACAGATGGGAACTGTCTCTTTTCTTGAGTCTCATAAACTGACTCTGCTGCAACCTATTGGGTGAGCTGGGAAGAAAAGCCAATCCTCAGACTTCATTATGATCTGAAACATCAGCTACAGTCCTTGCCAGGGGTGGACAGAGGATGTGAATTCCAAATTCCTAGCCGAATCCAGCTTTGCTGGAAGGAACCTTGGCAGGGTCATGCAGCAGGTGCGTGAACAAGGCAGGTTTTCCTGGCCTGGCTGCCTACTCTCTGGGCACACACAGATATGGTACATCCTCTTTCAAACCTGGGTATCACTCTTCTTTCTCTTTGGTGTCAGTCAACAGAGAGAAACAACCCTCTGTTCTGCTCCCCTCCCCCTCTAAATACAGCAAGAAAGAAAGATAAGTATGAAAAATAAATTATTTTCTCTCAGTGCCCTTTGAAGAACTGAGAGGTTTATGGTAACAGACTGCTCAGCACAATCCTGGATTTCAGTGCGTCCCCAGCTCACTCCCTGAGTTCCCCAGCCTGGGTCCACATCTACATTTTTTTCTTTGGATAATCTCTTTTTCTTCTTAGACTTTAAATCTTCATATATAGTGCTCTTCTCAATATTTTGATAGAAATTTAGGAATTTTAGAGGTAAAGGGACCTCATACAGCATCCAGTATCTGCCCTTCCCCGTCCTACATGAGGAAGCTGAGATACGGAGAGAACAGAACCTTGGCCAAGGACATTCAGCAAGTCAGTGGCAGGGCAGACTTCAGACCCAGGCACCCCCTCCTTTCCCACCCCAGCTGTGCACCCTCAGTCAGCCTTCGGCAGGGACTTCCTGTGGGAGGGGGGCACGAGGTGCGGGGGCAGGCTGTTCGGGAGCTCGTAGCCGTCCAGCTTGATCTTGATGAGGTGCTTGGCCAGCGCGAACTCCTCCTCATCCAGCATGCCATCACAGTCGCAGTCCGCCAGCTTCCAGATCTTGCCCAGGACACTGTTAGGCAGCTTGGACGTCACCATTTCCTTCTTGGCATTGACACCTGATATCTTGCCATTGATGGGCGATAGGGTGTAAAAGAGTTCGTCATACACGGGCTTGTCTTTAGCCACGACCCACTCTTCCTCATCGGCACCCTCCTTGGCCCCCTCCCCATAGCCCTGGTTGAAGGGCCCCTCGGTGGTGCCATCGAAGGCGCCACCCTGCACCATCTGCGTAGGTGTGTTCATTTCTTCCTGGCTGATGAGGCTCATCAGGGAGGAGATCTTGTTGGTCAGCATGTTGTCCACGGCCTCGATCAGCTTGGGCTTCAGCGAGTGGAACTTGGTGAAATCATAGTTCTCGAGCTGCTCCTACGGGAGGGAACCAGAACTGGTGTTAGGTTCTCTGCAGGAGGTGCTGCTGGGTTCCCTTACAGCAGACATCCCACCGCACCCTCTTTGCTGGGGCTCCCATGTCCAAGCTCACCAGATGTAAAGAGGGGCTTAGGAACAAGGAACAAGCTTCCGGATTGAGATGTGGCTTTCTGTACAGCAGCTGCTCTCTCTGGAGGCTGCAGCAGTTACAGCCATCGCCCAAGACTGAGAAAAACCTTTCCCTGCCCTTAATGCCCTAGAGAATTAGATCACTCTCAGAAAGGTCCTGCCGCACACTTGTTACTTTCATAACGATCCAGGGAGTGAAAAAGGACAGCTTACAACCTTGCTTTACAATCACATGGGCTATCCAGATGGCGTTAAGACCAGAGACCGCATCTGCTAACTCTTTACTTTGTGAAAGAACTCAGGGACAAGAGGGAGCCCATGCCTGACACTGCCTGGATGGTCAGGATCTGGAAGGTGGATGGCTCAGAGATCTAGGGTAGACTCAAACATGACAAAAAAAAAAAAAAATCAATGAGATGATCCCTAATGATACTCTGCTATATTTATATTCATGGAATTGGTGCCTAGCCTAACTGTCATCAGACAGGCTTCCTCCCGCAGCTGACGGGAGCAGATGCAGAGACCAACTGTCAAACAGTAAGCAGAGCTCGGGGAACTCTGTAGAAGGGGAGGAAGGACGGTAGGAGCCAGAGGAGTTGAAGACACCGGGAGTACACAGTCCACAGAATCAACTAAGCAGGACCATATGGGCTCAGAGACTGAAATGGCAGCCATGGAGCCTGCACAGGTCTACACTAGGCCTTCTGCACACATGCTGTGGTTCTTTAGCTTGGGGTGTTAGTGGGACTCCTGACAGTGGGAGAGGGGGTGTCTCTGACTCATCTGCCTGCTCATGGGACCCTTTCCTTCGACTGGGTTGCCTTGCCCAGCTTTGATAAGAGGGTGTGCGCCTAGTCTCGTTGCATCTTGCTATGCCGAATTCAGTTGCTATCACTGGGAGACCTGCTCTTTTCTGAAAGGAAATGAAGGAGCAATGGATCTGGGGGTGGGGGAAGGCTGCAATCGGGATGTATTGCAAAGAGTTAAATTAAAAAAAAATAAAGATTGAAAAAACTCTCAAGGACCATATTTAGAAAAAAATTAAAACAAAAAAACCCAAAAAAATTAAAATCCTATTAATTGAGAACTTTGTAGCTGTGTACGTGGTACCACACACCTATAATCCCAGCACTCAAAAGGTAAAGATTATAGAGTTGCTGCAAGCTTGAGGTTAGCCTGGTCTACATAACCATGCCCTGTCTCAATTTCCCTAGTTCCTGGTGAAAGGAACTTCCTTTTTGAATTATTTGGAAATAATACTGATGCAGGCTGGGGCACACGCTCCTTGGCTTTAACCTCTGTAGGAATGAGCTCAGAAGACTACAGGACAGGAAACCTGCGGTGAATCCCCACAGAGACACAGCCTACTGCGCGGAGGCTTCCCCAAGGTCGCTGTCAGTGCTGTGGGAATCCTGCAGCTGTAGACTAGTCAGTTATTTCAAATGAGCACAAGCTGAAACCCAGGTTGAGCCCCGTAAGCTGGTCACAGCAGGTCTCCACCCATCTTTTGGGAAGAGGGATCTTTCAGCAGAGCTGAACTTTGTCTTGTACTTCTTGGGTAGAGCCAGCCTCAGTGACCTTCCAGTAGTGCAGTGCACAATGCCTGTCTGCGCTCTATGTGCTACCATACAGTTCACGAGCTTCAGGCAAGGGGCTAGAGATTGAAACACACAAAGAGACACAGACAGAGGCACGGACCTCTAGTCCCTGCTAAGAAGCCCCTTATTCAATAGCACCACGGAGGCTTGTATGTCCAACAGTCAGGTGGGCGAACAGGTGAAAACCTTATCCTCTGATCCTCAAGGCCAAGGCAACACGTGCTCGTGAAGCAGAGCTGGTAAACAACTTTGACACAGCTTTCAGTAACTCAAATCAGAAGGAAAGTAAAGATCGCTAGCAGGGGAGAGCAGCTGGAGGCCAGGACTCCAAATGGTCCCAACAGCATAGCACGTGCCTCTAAGGCCAGAACTTGGGAGGTGGAGGCAGGATGGTCAAGAATTCAAGGTGAGCCCTTGCAGGGTTGGGGTGGGGATTCCAGGCACAGTGGTAAACACCTTTCATCCCAGCACTCTGGAAGCAGAGCAGGTGTACATACCTCTGTGAGTTCTAGACCAGCAGGACAGTGGGACTTTGCCTCAAAAAAACTAATAAACAAACAAACAAATGAGCAAATAGAATTCAGGGTGGGGACTGGAGATATGGCTCTGTGGTTAGGAGCATGTCCATATAAAATCAGCAGGACACCCTAAGTTCAATTCCCAGCACCCATATTGCATGGCTCACAATCACCTGTACTTTCAACTCTTTGGGATATGATGACCTCTTCTGACCTCTGGATAACTGCACTCACAGCCACAGATACACATGCGAGAATACAGTAAGAATTCCGAGGCTCTAGGTCCTACTGCCTCTACCTTTTGAGTGCTGGGATCATCGGTGTATGCTACTACTACACATGGCTAATCTAATACTTAAAAGCTACATACCATTGAATTACCTAGCAAAGTCACTTTATAGATAGATATGGAAGCTGTGTCTAGCAGAGAACAAAAACTGTGATCTTCAAGGTGTGTGGCAGGGCAGGAATTCTGTGTTCATATTTGGAAGGAAAGCCCCAGCACTCAGACTAAGGGGACAAAGCCAAAAGATGGCTGCCTATAATGTCTTCAGAACAGATCTCCCATCACATCTGCAGGCAGCCAGTACTGCACACCTAACCTGCTGAGCTGAAACTCGGCAGTCTGTACTCGGCTGAGCACTTGAGCAGGACAGTCCTGCTTTCTGGGTCCTGCATCCTCACTGGTTGACCAGAACCACCAGGGCATCACCTCCACTCCCCACACCACAGAGTGCTACCAACACTCAGGTCTTTTGCTGACAGTGCCACACAGTCAGCCTAGGGGACAAAAAGGACCAGATGAGGAGGAAGGACATAGGCCTTCCCACATAAGAATTCCAATGCTACTGGGTAAGAGGTCTGAATTCCCTTGGGCGCAGGAACACCGAGTCTGAGCCCTGAGCACACAGAGCCCCTGTGTCTGGCAGACAGACACGTGGGGTTTATGTCTGCCCAAACTGTCTACCAGCCTGCAGAGGCCAGCGATTCTGACGGCAACTGTATGAAGAAACAAAGGGCAACAGCCATGATTTTGCAGGAACGACTAGCAAGCAGCAGCTACGTCTGCCCAGAAAGCGCACACTTAAGAAACTCAGGTCCTCACAGACCTGAGCAGCAGTGGGGAGGACAAGCTATGGCCCTCCAGCAGGGAAGGCCTAAGACAGCAATCGTTTTCATTGGGATAGTCATGCAGTCAGGATTTAAAGAGATCAATAAGTGTACCACTGGGGCCAGGATCCTGGGGCTGCTCCTTCCAAAGAGCAGGTTCCTAGCCCAGTCTCAAGCTGGGTCCTCTTTACCCAGTTACTCCCTAAGTTCACCAGAGCAGTTTTCCAATGTGTGAGAGAGAGGAGCAGATAGGGATGGCTCTGCTGCCCTCTGCTGTTAAAACATGGTAACTCCTCCACATGGAGGTCAAATTCTTCAGGACAACTGAGTATAGTGTTCTCAAGCTGCAGGGCAGTCATTACACAATAGGCAAGCGTCCCTTGGGACAGGACACAGGACAGACATAGGCAGCCTGTCCTGGTGCTAAGGGAATAGAAACACACACTTGGCTCAATGTAATAGATGTGACACCCCCTGACCAGGGGTCTCTTGAGAGGGGGAACAGAGACCTAAAGCCAGCTGTGATGAACCGTCCTCATGACCCTAAAATATGCCCAGGTCGTGACTGTAATACCCAAGCTTTAGCCTCTACTTCTGACCCCCACACAGTGGTGTTAACTGAATGCCTGTTGCTGAGGATGGTGGACCATCAATGGCTTCCGGGAAAGGAGAACGCTCAGCATGGATTTACGGAGCACCCACTGCAGTCTGGATCAGCGTTGCAACATGTGGGTCACAACCCTTTGGGGGCTGCATATCAGGTATTTACATTACAATTATAACAGTAGCAAAATCACAGTTATGAAGTAGCAACAAAGTAACTTAATGGTTGGGGTCACACCCTAGCGATTATCCCTTGCCCCAGCTCTTGGAAGCCTAGGCATCCTCTGACCCAGATAGGCCCGATTAATTTTCCCGGACAGCTATTGTTCTGGAGTCTGCTCTGTTATGGGAGCTCGCCTACAGGCCGTGAGAGCCCAGAGAGTCACCATGTAGTATGGGCAGTGTACCAACAGCTAATGAGTGTGTATGTGTGGTGCCTAGTACAGGGTGGGCACTCCTTCACAGCTTTCATTTAAGCCAAGATACTAAGTTTCCTTATGAAGGGTACAAGGAAACAGCTGTCCTCCAGCTGTGCCATGGGATGCAGGGCACAACCTGAGTATAAAAGAAAATGTCCTAGCTGGGCGGTAGTGATGCTCACCTCTAATCCCAGCACTGGGGGGGGGGGGCAGAGGCAGGAGGATCTCTGTGAGATCAAGGCCAGCCTGGCCTGCAGACTGAGTTCTAGGACAACAAGGACTACCAAAACAAACAAACAAACTCAAAAAGAAGTCTCTGGGAGTCAACTAAGCACTAGTCCTCAAGCTAGTTATCCTGTGACCAGTAGAAAAGTAATTCCTCTTCTGAACAGAATACCTACTTTATTGCTAGAAAGAAAAAATATGTCTCTATATTTGTCACAAAACAAATTTCCTCCTACTGGGTTGCCTCTAGGTTTGCGCCTAGTCTTATTGCATCTTGTTATGCTATATTCAGTTGATATTCCCGAGAGGCCTGCTCTTTTCTGAAGGGAAACAGAGGTGCAGCAGATCTGGGGGAGACATGGGGCTGGTGCTGGGAGGAGGGGGAGGGGAGGCTGTGGCCAGGATTCATTGTATGAGAGAATAAATTAAGCAAAGAAACAAACTAAAGATTTGGCTAGATCCTGCTACCAGATCATACCTTGATGCCCTTGATGCCAGGCACAAAGAGCTGCCACCAGGACGGTGAGTCTAACCCCCCTCCTACCCTACCCTGCCCTGGCCATTCAGTGTTTCACGACAGAAGCTACCTTACCCCTATTTTGTCCACTCCTTCCTCCCCGTCTCCCTTCTGAGGCCCAACCTTATCTGCACACCCACTGACTTGGGCCATTCTCCGTGGCTTGTAGGGCTTGGAGTGAAAGATATAACAGTTGGTCTTAGGGTAAAGCCTCCGTTTAGTCTACCCAGGAGTTGTTGAGAATTTGAGACCAATTTTGAAAGGCGATTTACATACAAATCTAGACTTTAGCTTCCTTTATGCCCATGAGGGCTCATATTCCCATAGGACAGTGACTACTGAGCTAGATAGGACGTCCCCACATAGGCAGGCCATACAGTCTTCCTTGGCTACAGGACCCCAACAAGCTCACACCCAGTAACTGCAGAATCATCCTCCTGGTAGATATGCTCTGGGAATCCACTAATGTGAGGAGACAGCAGACATGGTGACAAGATGACACGGCTTCCTCCTCTGTGGCTACACGGCTGGTAACTGTAAGCACCTGAGTTCATGTCATCTGCTTAACAGAGAGGACGGTGCCCTGTGCAGATGTGTGCTACACTGGACAAGAAGGTGATGACCTTGCTCCAAAGGACATCCCATCCCTGTGGGGCAGCGGACACTGACTGGGCCAAAGCAGTTGAATGCAGCCCCATTATGGCTTGCCCGGAACTGCCCAGAGCTAACCGGAGACTCTGCAATCAGGCTGGAGGTCACCAACACTAGGCTTTCAGTAGAGTGCTGCTGAACAGAGCAAAGTAGGCTGTGTCCAGGGCCCCAGCTCGGTGCTCAGCAGCCAGCCTGTCCATCCAGGGCCCCAGCTCGGTGCTCAGCAGCCAGCCTGCCAAGCACACTTTTTCATTGTATGGCTCCTGCAGCCATACAGTGACCTTCAGAGCCAAGCCCAGCTCTAATTCCCTTCAGGTTCTGGGATTCTGAAAACCCAGGGTCACCTCAACCTCAGAGCCAACTCTGAGCATCACCTATGAGGCCAGCCTGGCTGTCTTTCTCATGTGAGCTTCACTGCCCTTTGGCTAATTCTCTCCCCTTTAAAAAGACATTTGGAAGGCAAACAACGGTTGCTTTAGTCATAGGAGGCCATCATCATGGGTCACCAATAGGAAGGTGACTTCATTGAATTCTCCTTCATTAAACTGAGACTTTCTTATATTCCCTATAACCAGCTAGGCATTGATTGTGGCAAGGAATTGCCATTCCCACAACCTCCTCCTGACATTGTAATGGGGGCTCCCAGTACCTGCATGGCTTTGACCTCAGGGAAGTCCCCCGCAGAAATCTGGTACTCTCGCTGCAGCTGCACGTAGATTTCCGGAAGCCTGAAGATAAGTTCCCGCTTCTTACTTTCTTTTCCAAATACGTTTGGCATTTCCTTCTTCAGATAGCTGATGATGTAGGCATGTACCTGAGGGGATATGTTGGGTGAGTACACACCACGCTACTTGAGAGAAGAGATAAATGGACCCATTCCCACGCAGAACTCTGGTTCTGACCACAAGAGAAGGTGAGGAGCCAGGCAGCCTAGGGGGAGCAAGAATGTTCCAGAGCTCCTGAGAGCTGGCCTGACTTGAGCAAGGGCCAGAGGGACCCGATATACAGAGACCACACAGTGATGGTGAGCAGAGAGAACTCCAACATCAAAGGCTGTGCAAGAGGGAAGGCCCAGAAAGACAATGGGAGGTAGAATGTGGCAGATAAGAGACCTGGGATGACAAGGCTCCCAAACCGGGAAGGGCAAGCAGTCTCCCCAGGAGGGCACTGCACTGTCTGTCCGTGTCACCTCCTTCTCTCAGTTCTCCATTCTTCCACTTCCGACTTCAGGTCAGTAAGTTGTGTTCATGACAAAAGTTTTCTTTACAGAACTTCAAGTCTACAGAGTAATTCAAAAGCCAAATAAATAGCTAAAATAGGAAGGGATGAAAAACAGAGCAACGATTTAAAAAATAAAGCAGCCATGTAGACTGGAAAATGCTAGTGAAGATAACAGATTTCATTAGAGCCTCAGGGAAGAAGGACATCGGGGAGAGCGAGGAGATGGATCCCAGAGCTCAGCCGAGGGTCTCTGGGGTGCATGCACACTGGTGGGCCCAGCAGAATCTGCAAGCACCTGCACTGCACAGAGGCCATCTGAAGATAAACACATGCTGGGCTGTATGGTTACTGCTTAGGGACCAACTCCTTAAAACTGAATGTAGGGTTAGAAGAATACCTGACAACAGTTCAAGCTTTCTGAATGCACAGCCCCCAGAGACTAACTCCACATCAAGCCTGGGATGACTCTAAGGTGTTTCTCACTGTGACACTGTGTGACTTCACAGCAGCTTTGGTTATCAACATACAACATGTGTACTTTGCACTATGCCTGATGATGTCACGCCGTGCAGTGACAATAAACTGTCTGAAATTCCTCTGTTCAGACTGAGACTGTTGTTTGTGGGTTTATGATAATATTTTTTTCCAGTTAATATTGGGCATGGTAACTCATGTCTGTAACCTCGGCCCTCAGGAAGCTGAGACAGAAGGACTGTCATGGGTTGAGGCCAGCCTGGGCTACACAACGGGTTCCAAGTCAATCTGGGCTACCCAGTGAAACCTCTCTCCCGACTGTCCCCACTTTAAAAAATTCAATAATAAACCCGAGACCCACAAAATGCTTAGGTAAAAAAAAAATGTGAGATTGAGAAAAGCGGCCAAGTCTTACTGAACAAGGGTTTGTTATTCTGCTCAGATCAAAGCTGGTACCAAAACCACACGTGATTCTAACAGTCTTAAAGAGGGCTTAAGGGGGCCTTTAGCGGCAGGCATCTGAGGTCAGCCTTCAGAGAGACAGGTTTCCATATATAGGCGTGGGCACTGCCATCCACAAAGCCAGGCAGGGATGGAGCTATTTTAAGCTCGCAGTGGAGAAGCACTGAAGGGCGCATCACCACACACTGAACGGTGATTCTCACACTCTCAGCCTGTATCTGCCTGATGAGCTACAAAATGCTCAACACTGCAAACAGGAAAGCCAGGCCCCACATATCACATATGACTAAGAGGAAAGTGCGCATTTGAAGAGCAAACTAAATTCCACGGAACTCTAGTGACCTCTGAAAGCCAGCGCTCCCCTCTCTCAACCTCCACCACTCCTTCCTCAAAAGCTGCTTTGCTTCCCTGCTGAGTGAAGATTTCCAAGTGGGTGGTGGCCGTTCCTAGCCTCCTGCAGAATGGGGTCTGCCTGTGTGCTTCTCTCCCTTTTGAGTTTGCTTATCCCGTAAGGAAGACTGAGGTCTGCACAGGTTAACAGAAGAATAAAACTACACTCTATTTCCCAAACTCATATGTAGGCTTTCCTAAAATAGCTTACTCTGAAGAACTGTGCGGTAAACTTTGGCGTCTCAGAGCAAACAGACTTCTGGCAGGCTGCCTCCCTCTGACAAAAGGTGAGGATCCTGGACAAGGGGGCTAACCCAGAGCACATGACAGTCTCTTGTTCCTTAGAAAACAGCTTTGAGGGGCTGGAGAGATGGCTCAATGGTTAAGAGCACGGGCTGTTCTCCCAGGTGGTCCAGAGTTCTATTCCCAGCACCTGCATAGTGGCTCACAACCATCTGTAATGAGATCTAGCACCCTCTTTGGCCTGCAGGCATATATTCAGGCAGAACACTGTATATATAATAAATAAGTCTTTTAAAAAAAGCTTTGAAAATACACAAATAGAAAAGACAGTAAAATTACCCAATCTCCAAGCTTTTTGTTTGTATTTTAAAATCCTGTATTACGGTGAGAGTGGTTAAGATAAAAACACAGGCCACTGAGCCCAAGGAAGCCAGAAGAACTCAGGACACTTCGATCTCTCAGAGGATGTGTGATCACTAACACCGTGATTTTGGCCTTCTGGTTTGCAGACTACGAGAATTTATTTGTCATTCAGCCTGTGGTAAAGCAGCCACAGGACACTTAGACATGCCATCTCACCCAGTCTTCCCCACCCCTTAGTTTGGTTTTTTTCTTCCCCTTTCCCCCTGTGCTGGGGACAAAAGCCAGGACCTTGAGCACATTAGAGAACTGCTCTACCACCGAGGTGGACCGTCAGTCCTTGGTGTCCTGCTTCCTCATTATATAGTTCTGGTGGCTTTAAGCTTCCGATCTTCCTGTCTCAGTCTCCGAACACTGGGATTACTGGAGTGTGCACCACTATTTCAGATGTGAACTCTAACTGACCACTGCATGGCCCGGCAGCATGGGAAACGGGTGCTGCACCTGTTCAAGTCCGGGGTGGGAAGAGGAGCGAAGGGTAGGGATGATGTGTGTGTGCCTCCCCCCCCCCCCCCCCACCGCCACCAAGAAGGCCGGAGAGATGGCACATGCTGCTGAGAACTCACTGCTCAGACTTTTCCATGTTGTTTTGCATATCAATATTCATTCTTCTCCAGTACTGAGTACCATCCATTACATACACGGCCACTGGGATGTTTCTACGTCTTAGCTATTCTAAATGAATCTGCTATGAGCATTTAAAAAATGAGGATACATTTGCTTCCCCTGGGAGGGCCATGAATTTTGGAATCATTATCCCATCAGCTGACTCAGATCTCCTATCTCTTAGGTGATATCTAGAAACCTACCCATCCCATATTTTACAATGTCCCTTGTAGGTTTTCTGTCGATAGAGAATTTTCTAGAATAAGCAGAATTATAGATTAATATATAAAGCAAGAGCGTAAAGTAAGGAGATACTGCAGAAGATGTTTACGCTGGATACAGATCAGGACTTTCTGGACCAAGCAGACTATCTGGGCTTGGGATGTGTATTCTGTAATATTCCCAGGCTGTCAATCAGCTCCATGAAGTTACACTGCTTTCTGAATGTCAGGTTTTCACGTATGAAGTAAGGATAAGGATGCCCAACTGTCAAGTAACTGATATTATCAAGCAAAAAATGGCTTCTAAGCAATTTTTTTTTTTTTTTTTGCTGCAGAAGGAAAACTGTGCCAAGAGAAAGATGACCATACCCATACAAAAGCATTATAAGGAAATATAAGTAGTCCAGGGTGACTCAGTGGTTTCTTGCCTACCCCTTCCCCACATTTTTGTTTGTGTTTTTCTGGGCAGAATCTCACATAGTCCAGGCTAGCCTCAATCTTAATACATAGCTGAGGATGACCTGGAGTTTCTGAGCCTTCTGTCCTTTTGGGGCGGCAGGTATGTACCCCGAAGCTGACTTGTGCAGTGCTGGGGATCAAATCAAGGCTCTGGGCATGCTAGGCGAGCACCCTACCCGTGGAGCTGCACCTCCAGGCTGCTCCTTGCTTCTTTAAGAACAATAAACAACAAAGTTCAAAAGTGGAACCTACAACTGCAGCAGGAGGGCTAGGGGTACAGCTTCATGGAACACCCACTTAGCATGTACCACGTAAGGGGCCACTGTGTTCAGTTCTGCTTCTTAGCCAGCCCAGGCAGCTTCCTGTCCTAATGTTCAGCTGGTATTGCAACATATCACGTGCAAATGGCACTGGGGAGCTGGTGATGGAAGTAGATGTGCCACAAGCATTTTCCTCTGTGAAAAGGAACAAGCCAGACACTATTCTTAGGAAGAAAAGAATATGCTGTTTCTTTTCCTATAAGTAAGCTCAGCAGATTTGAACATCCGCCCCCCACATCTGCACAAGGGTTTCCATTATTCAGTTTCAGAACACAGAGGCATTTTGTGTCTCCCTAACCTAGGCCACGCTGGTCTCCAGGGGTTCAGGGATGGCGGGAGCACTACAGGCTGTGGTGCTCAGCATTTCCAGCAGCTCTTTATCCAGTCACATCCACATTCCGTCTCTTTCTTTCTCCAGCTCTCTGTTCATATTCTTTCTCATTCCCTTTCTCTCCCACCTTTTTCCCCTATAGCTGAATATAGCTGTATCTTCAGTCACTGGCCCCTCAGCAGCGACTGGCAAATTTAAAATGTCCATGGACATTAAATCCCGTGAAATTTGTAAAGTCTACAGGAGCTACTAGCTTTGATTAGAAAATAATTTAGGCTAGCCAGGGTGTGGTGGTGCATGCCTTTAATCCCAGCACTAGGGAGGCAGAGGCGGGGGAAATCTCTGAGTTCGAGGCCAGTCTGGTCTAAAGAGCAAGTTCCAGTACAGCCAGGGTCACACAGAGAAACTCTGTCTCAAAAAACAAACAAACAAAAAACACCAACAATTACAAAACTAATTTAGACTTTTATATACCCTGAAATTAATTTATAACAGCTAGAACAGAGAAATACCACTTAAACAAGCAAAACGAGACATACTTCCTGCTACCATGCACTAGGCCTAGGGTAGTAGGCCTTTCAGAAGAGCTGCAGCTGAGTGGTTTCACGAACTAGCTAGAGTAACTAGCTGCCTTGCAGGACAGAATAAAGTGGCTTAGAAAAGTTCTGAGAAGAAGTAGCTTATACCAGGAAGAAAGGACAGCGAGTGGTGACTCACACAGCACCCTTCGGACTCAAGTTAGCTTGGTGACACACAGAGGAAAAGTATGTACACCCTGGGGTGTAAGAAAGGGAACCAAGGCCGGGCGGTGGTGGCACACGCCTTTAATCCCAGCACTCGGGAGGCAGAGGCGGATCTCTGTGAGTTCGAGGCCAGCCTGGTCTACAAGAGCTAGTTCCGGGATCGGCACCAAAGCTACAGAGAAACCCTGTCTCGAAAAACCAAAAAAAAAAAAAAAAAAAAAAAGAAAAAGAAAGGGAACCAGGAAGTTGTAGCACTGTGTGTCCTGGGCACTGACAGCCAGGGGCAGGTCTCTTCAGACATAGGAACATGCACATTTGGCTGCAGTAGGAAGACGGCTGATGAAAAGAAAGAAGGTGTTGGAAGGCCCGTGATCCTCTGGGGAGCCATCCTGTCTACCTGACAGGCACCTAGGCACCATCCTCTGAGGTCATATGGGCAAGTACCCATTCCTTGGTCAGTACAGTTCCTCCCTCTGGGACTCTGGGACTTCCTCCTCCACCAGATGACTTAGCTCTGGCCTGGGCATGCCAAATCTGTGTCTACTAAACGAACCACAGTTGTGAACCCCAGAAGGCTGACCCAGTACACCATGGCCAGAACAAAGTCAGCCCCCCTCCATGGCTATTTTTGTTTTATACCAGAAGACCAAGAGAAGGAGAGTTGACTCCACTTCCTGACCAAGTTTCAATGCGTGTAATCACCCTGTGCAGCCCTGGTTAGTCTCAAACTCATAGAGATCCACCTGTCTCTATCTCCTGAATGTTGAGATTAATGGTGCAGCAAGATTATGGTGATTTTTTTGACAGGGTCTTATCATAGCCCTGGCTGGCCTGGAACTCCTGTGAAGACAAGGCTGGCCTTGAAACTCACAAAGTTCCACTCAGCTCTGCTGCCCAAGTACTGGGATTAAAGGAGTGCACCAATCACATTCCCTCTCTGAGCCTTCTGGGATGATAGCAGTGCAACCCAGCATCAGCCCCAGGGCCCACCCTGTCATCTGATGCTTACTTTGGCCAGCCTCGCCCGCTTGATGAGGTCATTGAGTTTGCGCACTGCAGCCTTCTGGGGCAGGCTCTGGATGTCTCTGAAGAGGTCCTGTGCTTCAGCCTCGAAGAGCCGGCGGTTGTCTGTGTTCTGCAGAGGCTGTGCCCAAAACGAGCCAATGTAGACTCGAAGCACCTCGGGCGTGTTGATGACCTTGCCCAGAGACCACATGAGGGCCCCATAGACTCGCATCAGCTGCTGGGTGTCCACTTGGTCAGCCTTGTTCAGGACCACTCGGATCTTGTCATCCTGGCCCCGGAAGGCCTTGATCGCCTCTGAGAACTCATCCGAGATGTCCAGTTTGTGAGCGTCAAAGAGTAGGATGATCCTGTCAACCCGCTCAGCAAACCACTGTAGGACCTGGCAGAAGTCATACCCTGTGTGGAGAGAAAGCTCTGTCAGTGGGCGGAACACTATGAGGGACATGGCCGTGGGAGAACGCTAGTGAAGAAGAGCGTTGAATCTGAGGCAGCAGGGCTTACGACTTGAAAACCATCTCTCATGAGAGGGCTGGGCTGGATGCACGTAGCTAATACTGGGGATCTGGCACCCTCCCAAGGAAAGGGACAAAATGGGGCCTCTGATCAGCTTGATGAAGCCCTGTGTGTAGGCAAACTGACTTGGTACTCATGATTCTGACCTCACCTAGCACAGGTCTTTAGGTGAGGGGCAGAACTGACCTCCAGTCCTGACACTGAAGGCTAAAGGCTCACTCTCTGGACAAGACTTACTTTCCAGAAAACCTCTGAGATGAAGAAAGAAGGGAGCCTGGAGGCCACCTGCGTTCCCAGGGTGTCCAGCAAGCACGGGAATGGAGGTTTACAGAATGCTGAGGAGGTCAAGGGTTGTCTGGGGGAAGCTGTGATTGATATTTATCATGAGGACTTTTTATAGCTTACGTGTGTTTAAAAACTATTTTAAACATCTGTCACACACAATATGGTCGTTTGCCAATTTCCTCTTTAAAATGGACAGGGCCACAACAGATTCCACTGGTCGTGTTTGGCCACCTACCAATCTGTTCCAAATGAAGCAGTTAAGTAAACACTCTTCCTGAGGTCAAGACTCTCGGCCATCTCCCCCAAGGAAGCAAGTTCCCAGGAGAGGCACACAGGAGGCCAATACCCAAAGGTTATTTTACTCCCAGGCTGCTCAGCTGCAGAGCCACGGTCTCCATTGAAGCAGTCGCCTCTCCCGCTGCCTTCCTATTCCCGATAACCCCAGACGCATGCCAAAGTCTAGAGAATGATGCCAAGAGCGCAGAGGTAGCTACCACGCAATTTTAACAGTGTACCTTGATTACTGAAAATATTTTTTTAAAAATATCAAGCTTGATTTATTCGGATAAGAAAATACCAGACAGTAAAAAGAATAAGCTAGATAACCTATCAGCAGGCTGAGTCTGTACAAACACACACACAACAACTACAGCAAAACACCTGTGGGGGTGGAGGCTGGAGAGACGGCTCAACGGTAAAGAGCACTGGCTGCTCTTCCAGAGGACCTGGGCTTAGTTCCTAGCACCACATGGCAGCTAACAACTGCCTGTAACTCCAGTTCTAGGAGAGCTGACATCCTCTTCTGGCTTCCACAGGTGCTACATATACAATGGTACACAGACTTACATACAAGCAACAGCTTGTACATATAAAACTTTAATAATATAAAAATTTAATAAATGTTTAAAAGAAAAACCCGAGCCAGGTGGTGGTGGCATATGCCTTTAATCCCAGCACTCGGGAGGCAGAGGCAGGAGGATCTCTGTGAGTTCGAGGCCAGCCTGATCTACAGAGCTAGTTCTAGGGCAGCCAGGGATACAAAGAGAAACCCTGTCTCAAAAAACCAAAAGCCAAAACAAAAAAGCATAACAAACAAATAAACCCTCTCCCTAAACAAAGCAAAAAATAAATAAATAAAAACAAAAACAAAGCAAAAAACCCAACAAAACCAAAAAACCCTACCCTTCATAAACAAGAAAGCACTGGGTAGAAATTGGTTTCAAAAAGATGAATAGTGTCAGACATGGTGGCTCATATGCAAGATATTATCACTTGAGAAGAGAAGGCAGGAGGAATGCTACAAATTTGAGGCCAGCCTGGGTTATAAAGTTACCCTCATCTCAAAAAACAAAACAAAACAAAAACCCCAAAACCCAAAACCCAGAAAACCAAAAAAAAAAAAAAAAACCTACACATCAAAAAAGATGACCACAGAATGACAGCATTCACATAAAATGTTAAATGCCAGGCAGTGCTCAGCATCCTATGGAAACACACTGCAGCAAAAGCCCACACTGTTAGTATCAACCTGGTATGCTGGCTGGGGATGGAGTGTGGGTCCTAGGGCAGATGAGGAAGTGCCCAGGGAAACATGATCTTGTAAGAAAAGTGAAGAGGTTTGTGGACTAAAGTTTTCATCCCTTTGAAAAACGAGTATGGGAGGGGAGCAGATACACAAGAAACTAGAGTTAGTAATAGGTTTATTTTGTTTGATTTGTTGTTGTTGTTTTGTTTTTAGGGGCAGGGTTTCTCTGTAGTTTTGGAACCTGTCCTAGAACTAGCTCTTGTAGATCAGGCTTGCCTGGAACTCACAGAGATCTTGCCTGCCTCTGCCTCCCGAGTGCTGGGATTAAAGGCATGTGCCACCACTGCCTGGCTGTGTGTTTGATTTTGAAATAGGTATTACTATATAAGTGCCAAAGGAAGCTTGTCATCCTTGTAGGTAAGTTGAAAGAGCAGCATCGCTAATGTCGGCATAGCCATGCGGACATGGTGGCTCCTCCTCTCAGGCCACCTCAGATGACTACTTTGCTGTGAGGCAACATGTGTTAAACTACAGCCTAAATTAAAATTTACAATTTGTAAACAATAAGATTCTGGGCTGGGGATTAACTTAGTGATAGAGCACACATGAGGACTTGGGTTGGATGCTTAGGTGCACACACACAGGGAGATAGACAGAGACAGAGAGATATCAAGCACAGAGGCGGTGAGTAGCTTCCAGTGCTAAGGTGAGATCCTTGCTACGCAAGTCCACGCTAGGTGAAGCCATTACACATCTCTGGAGCAATGGCTCTGTCTGTATTTCCTCTTTCTAAAGTAACAATGGGAGCTGTAGTTTTGTGCCACTGAACAGGTAACAAAAAGGACTGCTTGTCACACACCAGGCAACACAATCAAGAGTAGAAACCACTGAACATCTCAGAAGAGAGCACAGAGTTATCAAAAGTGGGAAAGGTTGGCTTGTTCAATTGCCCATATGAACCATAATGCTTTTTACCATTTTAGTCATTTTGTCAATTAAAACTCTAAACCCATTCAATACTAAATCTCTGTATCTTCTATAGGGAATGGGGAGCCTTGAACGAGCGAGGTCCTGAGAGAATGTGGACTATTGACATGAGCTGGCCACATCAAAGACCCCAGAGCCTTAGACCCACAGGAGAATGGCAAAGCCTCCCCTGCTGGGGTGAGGTTCAGAGGCATAGCAAAGCTTTCCTTGGATGAGAGGGACTCAGAATATGTCCACCATCACTCCTGCGACTCAATGTTTATGGCCTGAAGACTGCTCCCGCAGAGACTGCTCCCGCAGAGACTGCTCCCGCAGAGATGAGCTGAACCCAGCCCTCCACCCAGCTGTGCACCATAAGCCCGGCCTCCCAGTTTATCTGTGTGTAATAACCCAGTCTTGTTCAGCTGTGTACAACAACTCCGTCTGTCTGTTAAACTGGATATAATAAACACACTGAGCTTCCAGGGTGCTGTTTTCTCCAGCCAAGAGTTCAGAACACCCAATCTCAGTTTTCTGTGTAACTGGCTGCACTTGTCTTTTCTTCATTTGCTTACTACCTCAGTCCGGTCCGTTCCTGGAGCTGTGCTGGATGCCCCATCTCCCCAGTTTCTCAGAACAGCATTCTCCTCTCTAGGTTTATGAATCTGGCTGCTGTCAGTGCTGCATGTGAATTAATCATACAATATTTGTCCTCTGTAACTGGCTGGTTTCACATGGCATAATAAAAGATTATCTAGATTATAGCATGTGTGTGTGTATGGTATATGCATATGTGTGTACCTGTGAACTTGTGTGAAGGCAAGAGGACAATAAGTGTCCTGCCTGCTTGATCACTTTTTGCTTTATTCTCTTGGGACAAGGTTTCTCATTGAACCTTATTTTATTTCTCAAGACAGAGTCTCATCATGTAGTCTTGGCTGGCCTGGAACTCACTGCGTTGGCCAAGATGTTCTGAAACTCACAGAGATCTGCCTGTCTCTGCCTCCGGAGTGTTAGAATTAGGGGCATGTGCCACCATGCATGGCCCTAAAGATTTTATGTTTGTCTGTCTGTGTGCATGTGTCTGTATAAGTGAATACCACATGTGTGCAGGTGTCTATGGAAGCCAGAGGAGGGCTCAGATCCCTCGGAGCTGGAGTTCAGGCTGTTGGGAGCTGCCCAAGGTAGGTGCTGGGAACACAGAACTCAGGGCCTCTGGAGGGACAGTATGTGCTCTCAACTGCTGAGCCATCTCTTCAGTACCCTTCTTTGACTTATAAATTCTTTAACCACAGGGACCATCTTCTTCATAGTTGTACACATTGTTATGGGCAGTGTGGACTTAGACGGAGAGATGCCTTGAATCTAATCCTGCCTACATCATAGTAGTTTTGTGACTTTGTGCAAGCAGCTTAATCTTTGTTACCTTGTTTGTAAAATGGAGCCCCTAACGTACCCACATACCTTTTAGGGCTGCATTCTTAACACATGGGGCATTTAGAATAGTCTTAGCACTTAGAAAACTGTCCAAAATGCCATCTACTAGTCATAGTAAAAAACCAAAATTTTATATCCAGTGCTTGAGGCACGGTGAGGTCACAGTGAAAGTTTATCAAAAGATGCCTGACTAGAGTGGAATCCAGTCTAGATCTAGGGCAAGAGGACATTCCTGAGGGACTTTATAAACTCAGGTAACAATCCAGCTGTCCCCTGAAAGGCTTGTAAAGAGGGTTGTATGCAACATGGGCCCACCCAACACATGAACTGCAGTGAAGGAAGCCAGCTACTAAAGAGCACACACTAAGCAATTCATCTCAAAGCTCTGGAACAGCAAGATTAGGTGATAGCTGAGTGCTGCCCACAGCAGGGGTGGGGCTGGGACTAGATGAATGGAACCAAGAGGGACCTCCTAGGGGTGACAGAGTTCTATCCCTTGATGAAGGTAGTGGTTCCATGTGCGCACAGACTTGGTACAACTTTCCCAACTGCCGTTACAAGAGATACATCTTATTATATGTTATACGAGCATCACATATGCATGCGTGTGTGCAGGCTGCAGAAATTACATAGCAACATCCTCCTTTGATGATCAAGATGGTTTTTAAAC